GGGGCTGCAGCGGGCCCGGGTCCTGCGCCGGCCGGAGGAGCCGCGCCCCGGGGCGGGGGGGATGTGCCGGCGGTGGGGAGCGATGGGATCCCCCCTCAGCCGCCACCCACCCTCCGGGGCCGCGGTCCGAGAGCCCCCCGGGCCGGTCAGACCCCCCGGGCTCCGGGGCCGTTGCGGGACAGCGAACAGCGCGGCGGGTGCGGCCCCGGGCCGGTGCGCCTGGTGCTGGCGCTGGACCAAAGCGCCTCCTGAGAGCATCGGGGGCTGTGTGCCGGTCAGTGGAGCACAGAGGATGCGGGGGCTGCCCTGCCCCTCGCTGCACCCCCTGTCTGTCCGTTCGTGCCGGCTGGGGGCAAGGACGTGTCTGTATTTCTGTCTGTGCCCGTCGCCCGCCCAGCTCAGCTCAGGTTTGGTGGGGCCGCTGCCCCCGCCCGCGCCCCCCGGGGCGGGTGTGACACCGCATCCTCCGCACCCTTCGCGGGCTCCTTTTGCGTCGCACCTTTTCACTTCAAAAAGTGGCAACAGTGTCGCCTCCATGAGTAGCACGGGGCCCGCAGAGGGCTGGACGGGTGGGTCGTGTACGTTTTGGAGTGGGTAGGGAATAACCTTGGTTTGAGAGGAGGAGATTTTTCCTTCCGAGGAGAACGCCTGTCGCTTGTGGATATGGCAGCGGAGAAGTGCAGGGCGTCCTCAGGCACGGAGATGCTTCCAGACGCAGCTTCCCTACGCAGGACATAGGGTGGGACAGCGGGGAGGAAGGAGGGGCCCTTCCCGCCCTGGACAGCAGGGAATGCGCCTGAGTTTGCCTTGGTAAATTGGGTAAAGCCGAGACAGTGAAGGTAAATATGAACCCGGGCTGAGGCAGCGCCGACGGTGGAATTGTCCATTTTGATCTGCATTGCAGGTGCATAGGAAGCATCCAGGGTACTTGTTGGCTTTGCTTAGATGGTAAGATGCTTAAGCTTAAAAAGCTTTATTGGTGCTTTTGCAATATAAATAATACTCCTTAATTAAAAAATAAAAAGACAAATGGACGTGGCTGTAAATACAGTGCCTTTTCCCATATAACTTGCTCATTGGCGAATGTAATTCTGTAGTGCTTTATTATGACTGAACCTCTGGGAGACAAACATTTATGCTCTTAAACTGCACATCAGTTTTTGGTTTGACAATTTAAAGCAAGTGCTTTATAAAGAGCTAATGGCTGACTTGTAATGTTGTTAATTTTTCAAGCTTTTGGTTGTACTGGGATTCCAGCAGTTTTTGTTAGTGAAACAACAACGATCAGAAGGTCATAATAGAGGAAAGTATTGGCTGCTTAAGTGGAAGAAAAAGAATATTGGCTGAACTGATGCACAAACACTTGTTTTCATCCTGTTGTCATACTTCTCCTTAATATATTTGTAAAGTTTTGTCCCTCATGCCCGTAGAGAAGACCCAGGTCTCATGACCAGTCTAGATGCTCTGTGTATTTTTCAGTCCAGTAGTTGTTGCAAACTCTGGAAGAGCAAACATTTCACTCCTTATGGTTGTTTCCTTCACATGAGATTTCAGATGTAGCCGTGTATTTTCAGGACTTTAAAACAATTTTTTAAAGTGCATTTTGTAACTTGAGTTACAAAAATCACCCGGTCCCTTAATGTGCCCTAATTCAAGAGGCTGTAGGTGTTAAGGGCAGTATATTTGTTCATCCAGTTCTACCACATTAGTCAACTGCAGTAGGCAGGAGACAAACTCCCCAGTGCTGTTATTCCAGAATGTGGATCCTAGTGTAAAGTAAAATATTTATTGGACATTATAAATAGAATAATAAAAGGAATGCATTGTAATAAAAGTTTGCAAGTTTACTTTTGCTACTGTGTTAGACTTTGATTTTTACGTGTCTCATTTCTGTTTAGTGTCTTAAAAATGGTGGTTTAAAGTAGCAGTGCTGTGAAGGATTGCTTTTATATCCTCAGAATTCACAATGTGTTGGGTAAACACAGAATACTATTATGTAACTCATCTTTTTACTCGAGTTCATGTTTAACCTCATTTTTCATAGTAAAGTTTGACAAGGTAGCAGTTGCAGTTTATTTTGTATAGAGAATAGACATCATCTTTTTGAAACTTTATGGTGCTTAAGAATTATTTTGCTGACAAGTGACACTCTGTGTATATGTTGATGTACCTCTGCCTGTTAGTAACTAAAAGTGGTGGCGTTTGTTGAGCAGCAGTTTACTGAAAATCCAGCAGTCAAATAACTTGATGCTTTAGGGGAAATGGTTCAGTATAGGACATAGTTTTTTTTCCTACTGCTGGTTTAGAAAGCAAAACCACTGCTGAAGGAAGGAAAATCTAGGGATTGTGGTGTTGAAGAAAGAGAGGTGCTTTGTTCTCCTGTAGCCTCGTTCATGTTGCGGCAGCACTGGGTGAAACCCGGAGTGGCTGTGAGGGGTTGAACAGCACAGACACAACTCCTGATGGGGCTGCCAGGCTGCTGTTCCTGACAGGGATGTGCTGCAATGAGCCAACCTTGTGTAACCACAGCCAGGACTCCCAGGAGGGTCTGGCAGAGCCTGTGGGTCCCTGGGAACACGGTCCGAGGTGTCCAGGCCCCGGATGGGGCTGAGGTGGGAGGGTGCCCTTTGTTCAGGCACAAACGATATCACCAGGGCTCTGCTTTCCTCTGCTGAAACAAACCCTCCCCTCCCTTCTTGTGCACTAATCTAATGTATTTCTGAAAAGCATACAAAGATGGCAAATAGTGCATCAAGTAGAGCCAAGTTGGAATGTTAGTCCCTGATTACTCCGTGCTGTCCCTCACCTCCAATTCCTTCACCTGCTTGAGGACACCTGGCATCTTTTTCCTGTCTGGCTGTAGGATCTTCAATGAGTCTGGGCCTGATCCATCTCTGTGCTCATTTTTAAGTGATGTAAAAGATGTCTTCCTCTAAACCAGGATGTCCAACAGTGTGATAATGGGTGTTAGTCTGTCTCCATGTGATCAGTGAATTATTTAATCTAATAATGTTTACAGTTATATACCAGGTCGTTTCTCCCGGTGATGTTAAAGAGCACGATACTACAAATGGGAGCAGTAGATTTGTTTACTGCTAGAATTTAGAGGCATGACAAAATATTGCTGAAAACAATGTCCTCGGAGTGTATCAGAACTTCTGCAAGCTGTTTGTTGGGGTGTTTTTAAATAATCATTAAAAAAATCTTTGTATTGCTGTTTCTTTCCTTCTGTTGGGGAACATGTTTATTCTCACTTCACTCCAAGAAAACCTTCGGTTTGTGTTTAAAATATGAGAAATATGTTGCTGCTCGTTGGTTTAAACTCTTTGACTGAGAGCTGGGATTTAAGATCAGTGTTATTTAAAAACAATGGTGGACTGAAAAGTGTTAAATGTCATGGCTTTTCCCCGAACAGAATGGTGGCTGCCTCCAGAAAGGCTGAAAATATGCCAGGGAACAGTAGCTCCCTGTAATCCGAGCCGGTGCCCAGAGGGAGGGCACAAAAGGCACAGCAGATCGCATTTCTGTGGAGCAGAGGTGCCGAACTCGGGAAGAGTCTGTGTGTGGGGAAAAACCGTGGGAATGATGTCAGTAGTAGAAGTGTGCCTGTTTGCTTTCCATCTTCAGGAAAGCTCTATTTAAGCTGCGTAGTTTTATTGTCTCAGTCTGAGATACCTGGGTTATGTAAGGGAGGGTATAAAGCACCTCTGTTTGGAATCCTTTGTCTTGGCATCCTGTTTAATACACAAAATCTTGCTTAAGAAAGGACTTGGCTATAGGTCATCGCCACTACCAGATTTCCTTCATCAGCAGCTCTCAAAACCTTTAGCAAAGTGGAGACCAATTTTTGTATGTTTGATCATAGTTGCTGTTCTAAAATAATAAAAATCGATGGCTTATGAAACAGCATCACAAAATGCATTAGAGGAAAGTGTCTCCTCGGCCTGTTACACTTGCCTGGAAATAGTCGTGCAGTTCTGTAGAGTTGCTGTTAAAATAGCTGCTCTCTGTAAATGAGCTCTCAGGACAGATTGATTTAGCTTGCTGTCAGGCTTCAGTGCCTTCTGCTGTGTTTCACAAATATTCCAGGTAAACTCTGAAAATCACCATTTCTGCGTTTAGGAATTCCACACAGTAGGAGCTCAGCTGAGTGCCTGGAGCTGATGCTGCAGCAGGAAACAGTTCTGCCTGTCCCACCCCCCTGACCTGCTTCCAGATTTTATTTTTTATTTTTATTTTTTGCGCCTTCCTCAGGCATTTCCAGTGCTGCACAGTGAACCCGTCACCTGAAAACAGGCAGTGGAAAAGCCAGTTCGTTTTCAGATGCACCAGTTCCCTCACCTGGTTCACTGAATGACCAGGAAGGTGATTTTGGAGCATTTCAGAAATGCAGCACTAAATTCTACCTCAGTGTACGTGAGTGGGGTGGGTGAGAGAAAGTCACATCTGGGCTGGGTAGTAAATAATCACACATCTGTGTGATGGTGGGTCATTGTCCTGTTGGGGAGGGGGAAATGCCCAACCAAGTCACTTACTTGAAACCAGCTCAGTAATTCTTTTGATTTGTGTTTCAGCAAGCTTCAGAAATAACAAATTTTTAAATTACATGAATGCATTTTCTTCAAGTTCTGGTGCAAGTTACACATTATTGATCATAGCACATAAAATAAAAAGAGGACACACAGCGTTCGTGAGTATTTTGATATCTGAAAAAAGCCCTTGGCTGTTCCGTAGTGTGGTGTGATTTCTAAGCATGACTCTGGAGTTATACTTAGCAGATCCTTGTACCCAAACCTCCCACAGCCCACCGTGCCAGCTGAAATCCTGATTCAGCTTTAACTGAAGCTGGAGAACTTTTTTCAAAGTCATTAGGAAAATAGAATCGGGCTCGATTTTATGTGTAACATTTGATACTCTGTTAGTCTGGGAGAACTGAATATTAATTTTCTTGTCATTCTCCTTCTGACAAAAGAAATTGGTTTACTAGAAAGACTAACAGAATCACGGAATATTCTGAGTTGTAAGGGACCCACAGGATCATCAAATGTGTCTGCAGTTCTGTGACTGCCTCATTGTGATTGGGGTGGAATCTGTGTCCTGTGGCTTTGATGGAGGTTATATGAAAATAAACTGTTCTATCCTCTGAATGAAGGCATGAATAAAATAGAAGAGCCATTTATCAGGAGCACATGCTAGAGAGCAGAAGAGAAGGAACCTGTTCTCTACATGACGATGTAGCCTTGCTCATGAGG